GGCTGAGGCAGGCTGAGGCTGAGGCTGAGGCAGGCTGAGGCTGAGGCAGGCTGAGGCTACAGGCAGACTGAGGCTGAAGCAGGCTGAGGGCTTGCATGATTTTGAATGCCCGAGCCAACTGTAGGCCACTTCGGGTCTTCGAGTTCCCAGAACTCTCCCGGGCACATTTGAATGCTGAAGGCAGGCTGATGGCTGAGGCTGAGGCCAGGCTGAGGCTGAGGCAGGCTGAGGCTGAGGCCGAGGCTGAAGGCAGACTGAGGCTGAGGCTGAAGCAGGCTGAGCTGAGGCTGAGGCAGGCTGAGGCTGAGCTGAGGCAGGCTGATGCGAGGCAGGCTGAGGCTGAGGCTGGCGATGAGGCTGAGCTGAGGCCAGGCTGAGGCAGGCTGAGGCTGAGGCATGAGGCAGGCTGATGCTGAGGCAGGCTGAGGCTGAGGCTGAGGCTGAGGCTGAGGCCGAGGCAGGCTGAGGCTGAGGCAGGCTGAGGCTGAGGCCGAGGCTGAAGGCAGACTGAGGCTGAGGCTGAAGCAGACTGAGGCTGAGGCTGAGGCAGGCTGAGGCTGAGGCTGAAGCAGGCTGATGCTGAGGCTGAGGCTGAAGGCTGAGGCTGCAGGCTGAGGCTGAGGCCGAGGCTGAAGGCAGATTGAGGCTGAGGCTAAAGCAGGCTGAGGCTGAGGCTGAGGCTGAGGCTGAGGAGGCTGAGGTGAGGCTGCAGGCTGAGGCTGAGGCAGGCTGAGGCGAGGCTGAAGCAGGATGAGGCTGAGGCTGAGGCTGAGGCTGAGGCTGAGGCAGGCTGAGGCTGAGGCTGAGGCAGGCTGATGCTGAGGCAGGCTGAGGCTGAGGCTGAGGCTGATGCAGGCTGAGGCAGGCTGAGGCTGAGGCGAGGCCGAGGCTGAAGGCAGACTGAGGCTGAGGCTGAAGCAGGCTGAGGCTGAGGCTGAGGCAGGCTGAGGCTGAGGCAGGCTGAGGCAGGCTGAGGCTGAGGCTGAGGCTGAGGCAGGCTGAGGCTGAGGCAGGCTGAGGCTGAGGCCGAGGCTGAAGGCAGACTGAGGCTGAGGCTGAAGCAGGCTGAGGCTGAGGCTGAGGCAGGCTGAGGCTGAGGCTGAGGCTGAGGCAGGCTGAGGCTGAGGCAGGCTGAGGCTGAGGCTGAGGCAGGCTCAGGC